AAAGTGCTTGGTTAATGGCTGTACAAACTGAAACTTTTCTGTTCTGTTCCCCTCAAAGTGACTCTTCCATCTTCGATTTTCTATCTTCGAACATTGAACACTTGTTTGCAACCAACCGTAACTGCTATGTACCATCTTGGGAGATTTTAACGTTCACAATCAGGTTTGTTTGACACATTCATCTTCTAATTCTTCTTTGGGGCGCGAAGCCGAACACTTCGCTTCGGTCAATAACCTGAGCCAACTAGTTGACCTCCTCACACGTGTCCCTGATCGAGCTGGCGACCGTGCCCACACCCTCGATCTAATCCTCACTTCGGTCCCTTCTTTCTTCTCCGACATTGGTACCCTCCCTTTTGGCTCATAAGATCACTGTTCAGTTCAGTTTTTTACAGCCATTAACCATGCGCTGCTTTTGGTTGCTGTGTTTTGGTGCCCCACTTGGATAAAAGAGCAGAATGAAGACTGGAATGNAATTCATATAGAATGGTGTTAGGGTAACAATGAGTGGATGCATGACCGCCACTGTTGTTTCTTGTTCTATTAAGTTTTCAAACTCCGAGCTACCACCCACCGCGAGACATATTCTGGCGCTGTTTCTGTTCCCAGATGTACCTCTCTGCTCCAATTCTTTTTTCCTCTGAACTGCCAAGCTGTGGAACACCCGCCCACTTGCTGTCCCCCCTCAATTTACAACCTTACACATTTTAAATGCAGAATCAATAAACTGGATCTTACATGAATGTTCCCATACCCTCCCTTTTACAGTATGCTATTTGTTCATGGGGATTTCCCCTTCTACTGTAATTCATATTGTGTAATAAAAAACCCCACGGGGTTTTCCAGAAGAGGCGACTGAACCTACCAACCGGTCACCGACTCACCTGGGAAAATTCTATTGTCTTGTAGTTCTCGCTTGGGTGTGTGAGTGTGAGTGCACCCTCAAACAAGGCCTATTTGACCAAGCAGTACAATAGCCCACAACGCACACAAAAGGAAATATGAACTTATCCAAGAATTCACTTCCACATCTTTGTAATTTCAGAGAAAATCGTTCTAGACCGTACACCTCTTCCTGTTACTCAATAAGAGGATAAGCACAATTGCCATATAATAATCCCGCTCAAGCTGGCCAGCCTCCAGTCAATAAGATGCTGCCCAATTGAATAAGTGTTATTAGCTTCCATCAGGAATCCCCAATTGACGAGCCTCAATATACTGGTTAAATGTTCCCATGACGGTTTTTCCAAATTGTCCATTATCACTAATTTTAATGAGGATGGATTATTTTCGTGAGAAGCTTTTTTTTAAAACACTAAGTTTTGGTTGAGTCAACAATAACTGCCTGCTTTTATGAACCTTGAACTTCAAATAATGAATGATTGCCGGTACTATTCATTATCCAGTTTTATTTTATTTCATGTTTCAGTTGCTTATGTGTTGAACAGGATGGTCTCCTCCAAGGACACTTGTTTCATTTACCATGAAAAACAATCAAAAATGCTGTGTGCGCTTCACGCCCTGAACAATGTGTTGCAAGATAAAATATTTTCAAAATCTTCACTGGATGATATTGCCAACACTCTGGCCCCATCAAAATTTGTCAATCCCCACAGAAATTTTTTTGGACTCGGTAACTACGATGCAAACGTCCTGGTCCTTGCTTTGCAACAGTGCGGTTACGACATTGTTTGGTGTGATAAACGTAAATCACTCAAGGACCATCATTTGAATTTGAACAATATTCTCGGCTTCATATTGAACACTTTGTCTCGACGACACATTCTCTCGTTTCCTCTGCCTTATGCTGGCAGCCACTGGATTGCATTTAGGCACATCACTGTGAACGGAATTGGTCAGTATTATAATTTGGATTCGAAATTACGGGCCCCGCTCCCAGTCGGATCAACCGATGAACAGTTTATTGATTATTTGGAACAACGTTTGCGTGAATATCCAGATACTCAGCTGTTGTTTGTCGTCTCCAGTGACGTACTCCAACAACGATCATGGACCCAAACTGGTCACGCACCCTAATCAAACGCAGGCCTATTCAACCAATTCTCCCTCCTTCTCTTGTATATAATAGCCTTTACTGTACGCACAATAATGCGACTGTCTGTTGTGTGATCCCCTTGATTGCTTTTACCTACTTATCTAACTGCTGTGATATTCGTAAGACACCTCATTCTCAACCGGCGTCTTTAATTTCGTCTGAATGAAAGTGAAAATACACCATGGACGGTCTGAAAGCTTGTTTTTGTTGTTCAGATTTTTAACTCTAGGATAAACTAGTGGAAAGATACTGAGTACTGCTGTGCGCAAACAGTTGAATTTAGCTACTGATATTAAATAAACTGGAGAACAAGCGGTTGAATTCCGTTAAGGTATTCCTAGTCAACAGCCAACAAGTTCAATGTACATGTTTATATTATTCCCTCAATATCTATGAATTGACCAATCTATTCGTTAAACCGTATAAACCGTTCAGTCATCACTAAGCTGGTGTTAATTAGGGTCCCGTGAAGTAATACCGATACAAGAGTCAACAATGGAGGTTGAAGAGGCGGATAAACGCCATAATTTTGTGCATCGTACGCTTTTCTGGTCTTTCTGTCTGTTATGATAGGTGTGTTTCGCAGCACTCGGATGCCGAGGCATATACACAGCTGTTTCAAACACGTGATTTAGAATTCATTGGACCAGATATAAGGCTGGTACTGTGACGAGACGCGCGCTTTTAGTTCGATTACCACGATCCCTCACTGAATCCTACCAAGTGGTGGAAAGCTTGTATATTGCTTACTCATGGTCTTCGGAGCAATTCGAGTTAGTTAAATCAGCTGGTACTGATGGCAGAGCAATTTAAGTCATGCCTGCTGACTTTGTCCTGTTCCTGCTTGAACCTGGAGGTTCGGATCCTAGCAGTGCATCCAAACGGTAGATGACCTTGTTATCGCTTGGCTCAACACCATGGTTATTATAACATGACGCTAAGTAGTTTACCACTTCAAATTTTAGGTTGTCAACAGTGTATATAGTCGTGGCTATTGAGAGCATATGCCCACATTTCGCTCAAAACTATACACGAATCATCTCACAGATCGATAACATGCACAACAATCGGTTTTCGGAATTCCTGGGAAAATTAGAACTACAAAATACTTGCACGTTGGGATATGGCGAAATTGTGACCTCCTGGCTGGATGAGAGCGGCAGGAAGGGGGCTGCCGATTTTCATAACCAATCCAGTTCTAGCTAGTAGCCCCAGTTCCTCACTCATTGGGAGTTTTTCTCTTTATTAATCAACCGGGAATTCACGTATCATGGTGATTTTTTATCAAGGTGATTGTGTATAAATATAGATGAGTTATCAATTACGTTAGTCGCATTTTACATACACGTCATGATCAATCAAATAGTCCCGGTTGTTTCCTCTAACCGAATAGACTTGTGTAGGTTCAGCATCTTATCCACAGATGAAATGCACCAGTCAGTATGCAGCGTGAGGAAACACGCATAGATTTGTACAAGTGCATAAACCTAGGTTCGCTTGATACGGGGTCAAACAATAAATCGGAAAGGGGGACAGTGTGATTTATAGCATCTGATCACAAGACAGAAAAAGATGTATACAGCTGCAAATATGTCGTAATTGTTGAGCTCCTCTTCCAGAAACCATCTGCACTCCGATTAAAATCTTGATTGTTACGCTTCCAACAAAAACGTAATGGCACCTAACTTCTTGTTATGATCGAATGTTTCATCTCTTATATTATTATTATTATATTTCACACTTGTCTGAGGACAGACTGTGTTCTAGGCAAATCATGATACAAAAATCTTAATAAAAAGAAGAAAACGTCCCATGATTTGTCTGTGGACCGAATACTGCCAGGTTACCCAGCCCAAGGCAGGTGAATTTTCTTGAGGAATCCACAACCAGAGCCTTCGGATAAACAAAGCCTGACCCTCAAGGCAGCGGGGCGGTGTGTGCAAAACCGCGGTTCATTGGGAGCTCGCCGGCTCGCCGGATCATTCGCCCTTCGGATGGGGTCAAACGTCCAAGGTGGCCAATACACCTCAATACCCAATCGAGCCGGGGACCACTGCCACAACCGGAAAGGTGTGGTACGCCTCGTCTTGGTTGGTTTGGAATCAGGGTTTTTGACCAACTCTCCTAGGTGAACTAGCGGTGGTCCACCAACCCGGTTATAGCCACGGATGTCGGCTTTTGGTCCTCTCACTTTGGTGAGAAAACAGCTCTGCCACGAGAAGGCAGTGAGTTGGGCTTCCTCAGCAGAGACTATTTGAGACGCTTGGTTGTATGGAAGCATTTCGCGAGGTGCAAGGTTAGGGTGACTAGCCGGAACCCTAGACACCCGCCCCGACTATACTGAGGCTTTTGTAGGCATGTTTCATCTCTACTCTCTGTTACTCGTGAACGGTTTTTCCCGAACAGCTAGGATCGCTTTGGATTCAGATTTAAGCTAAATTGGGGGTGAATTTTAATGCACGCCACGGTCTTCCGATACACTGGGTTTGTTTCATGATTAGCACATTCACATGATACTGTTTTGTCTAATAATGCACCATGGGATGCATACTGAGAGCCGATACTGTAACAGCAATAGTATGATATCTTGCATGAATCTTGGTCATATACGTACTTTCTACTGTCACTTGATAGGCCGAGTGTATGAAAATAGACTAAAATTCGATCCTTTGATTATTTTAAACGCATTTTGTGTCTCACTTCAGTTACAAATCAAACGTTAAAACATGTCTTCTTGGAATCGAAGGATACGTTTAGCCGAAAATCATTACCAATTAAATCAAATCGTTATCAGTCGACGGATTTTATTCGATGAACTCATGTAATTCTATCCCGAGAGATCAGATTGAATTTCACTATTTGGTTTGGTATGGTTTGCTCTCGATCTTATCGCGTAAATTTGATCCCAATCTAGATTGGGAATGAAGAAGAGAACCCAACGAAATCACATGACGAGTGCTTCCTGTACAAAGCGCTTTTTGTGACGTGAGGAAGTGAATCACAATGAATCCATTCTCTTCAGGCACTCGAACAGATTCCGCTCATGAAAAATCACATGTGGCGTTTCTTTCGAGGTGATGGTTACTATTCCAGCTAAATCATCTCTACCAATGTACGTGATAGTGGCTGTCGTTCGAACTGAATGTTATCTTTATCTAAGAGCAACGGACCGCATGCGAAAATGTGATTAGAAAAGCTTGAGTTGTTACGCAACAAATACGCGCTCGAACTGGCTCTTCCTCGAAGTCGAACTGATGTTGCCTATCCGGACTACAAAACGTCCGTAAACTACATTCTCAGCTCAGATAATCCTGCAATATCAATTTTTTCCCACTATCTTTGACGCCAAATGGATTCAGAAAGAATATGCATTCAGCAGTCGATGTCTGATTTATCTAAAAAGAAAGAACTGTTCACATCACCTTGACGGAAAAATTGAAATTTATAATGGGACTCGAGTCACTGTTTTGTTCCACTTTTCTATTTCCCCATTCATATTATTACCCGTATTATACACCAGATGAGATTCAACAAATTCTAGCCCATTGTTAACTGTTCCGAGGTACGTTATTGTCTCCTTTTACAAAACCCTAAAATTTCCGATATTTCCTGTAAATATCGTTATACGTATAATCCGGAAGTGGGGTTGGTCGAAGCTAACTCTTTCCCGATCTGACCACAGATCGTTGATTTGTATACAAAGGACTAAAATATCAGGCCTGTTAGATTTAATTTTTTGCCACCGCTAATCTACGGTTCGACTTCTGCTATTACCTCGGTCAGTTTTGCTTTGTTATACTGACAACAAGAACAAGCAAACAATGTCGTAACAAAGTACCGAATTCAAGCTGCTTGGAGGCCACTCCTCTTGCCACATACTCAAGTCATTTCCGCTATCTTACCACTTTCAGTGTGAATGTCGTGTATTTTGACCCTCCTCCCCCAAATCGAAACCCATGCGTACAACCGTGCAGAGAATTTGTTTCTTTCACCAATAAATCATTTACTCACTAACTCTTTCCAGCAGTACGCTACTGAAGAGGCTTTGGTACTGACGGCATTTGACAGAACCAATCTGGCCGCATGTTTATGCCAACGAGATCTGTCGGGGTTAGGCAACTTTTCGATGCTCGGTCTTGACGGGAACATTGTCCATCCGGGTAGTGACACTGATGCCTGTACGGTATTCTGATTGCGTCCGGTTTAGTACCACGACTAACCTAACTGGGCCTTATGTGGTTCGCTACTCCAATTACGGGAGCTTAGGTCACCGGTTTCCATTACTACACATCACGTCCTCGTTACTATGGGGTTTTCCCCGTCCGCTGTTCATCACATTATCATGTTTATTTAAAAAAATAACTTTTTCACCCCAACCTTCAAATTCCTTAACCGATGTATGCCGTGTGGTGCCCATCCTCTGTGGTGAATCTTATTTCTGCGGAAGTACTGTCATCCATTTGCCTTGTCCCTCCAAGCTGTGTACGATCTTGGTTTTATTGGGCCCATGCCCCCATTGGCACGCGAAGTATAGTTAACGGCAAAATCATCCGTAGACTGCTCCATCCCACTCCGGTTCCTTGAACCCAAA